TTTCTTAAATTGCCATGATTCATCCTGGTCCTAAGGTGTGCCCACTGAAGATGTCCCAGTTATCAAATGGGGTTAGGAAAAGGTGCAGAAGAGCAAGAAATTGAAAATTTCTTAGAGGAACATATGCCCTGTAGGCCATTACCCCTTTTCCAAGCTGGGAAGAGGCATTGGTGTGCATCTCTGAGTGAGCTGAGGTACAGATTGCTCTGGGGTCCACTTTGACCACTGGCTTTTGAGGAGTTTGTCTCTTCACATGGTAATAACGTGCTCCAGTACATTCATTTTAGTGAGGACTAAGATGTGCAATGGAACTGAGGGATAATGGGGTTTGCACTCTTCTCAATTTTTTATGTCATTTAGTAAGTGCTGATGTTGCATTAAGATGTCACTGTCAGACTGGATGGCATTAGAGAAGAAAAGAGTTGCTAAATTTCCAGCAGGTCGAAGTATTCTCGGATCCCCAGGCGCGTTCAGTAAAAATCCGTTGGAATAAAAGATGGCTAAAAAATGTTTTTAATCTAAGCTTTTTAAAATTTCTCTTTTGAGAGCCACTGTAATAAATCGAAATTATTGATTTAGCCCGTAGCAGTCCCAAGATTCACTCATTTAAGAGTCGAAACTGCTCTATTACTTAGAGCAATAACCCAGCACTGCGAAATCTCTCATCAGAGACTCCTGGACTGCACATGCAGACGGGCACTCAGCAAAGATGTCTGTTTGTTTATGGATCTTGCATCAGCTGAGATATTTCCTCAGTAATTATCCTCTCCCCCTGCACCCTGTGAAAGTCTTTGCAGTGCTGGGCCTGTGGCTCTCTAGTTCTGGGACCAGCTGAGCCCTGGCTTTGCATGGCCACAGGTTTAACATTGTTCCACCTCTTACTAGACCTTTACAGAGAAATAGAATCTATTTTGCTTCTGTTACCCACATCTATCCATGAGCTTACATGGGTTGTGTATACATGATACCACGTTTTAAATCCCCTGCCTTGAAGCAAGGGTTAAGTACAGCTTTTGATACAGCCAGTCCTGGGTTAAATATTTCTCAGGGCACTGAAGGTTTGAGTGATCAATAAATGATCGCAAATGCCTAATATCATACTCAAAACTATTCTAAAATCAAAAGTCCTGGTCAGATCAACTCTAGCTAATACCACAGGTGTGTGTCCTGTCCACAGAACTGGCAAGAGCTGGCGAGTTATGTGGCAATTTCTCCCAATGTCGCTTTTGTTTTGCCTTTTATGCATTTTTTATTGTCTTTCCATTAAGAGAATATTTCTGTTCCACCTTCTTTTTCTAAAACTGTGCTCCTCAGAAGCACTGCTGTGGCTCTGCAGCATGTTCTCCCAGGGCAGCACTTTACTGCTGTGCCAGTAGTGAATTACTGACCCCATCACCAACCTGCTGTGACCAATGAGTAGCACCTCATCAGTGCCCATCTGCTCCAGCCAGAGTAGCTGTGGGTTCAGTGTGTGCCCAGCCCCAGAGCCCCAGTGGCTGCTGAGCAGGTCAGAGGGAGTCCTCACTCCCCTGCACAAGCACGTGGTACAATCTGATGAATGATTAGCATATTTATAAATTAAAATAAATCCAAGGAGTGAACTGCCCCAGGGGAACTCTCAATCCAATCAAATTAGACTCATATATCCACCCTGGAGCAATTCCTTAGAAGCCCTGCCTTCAGGAAGCTTCATTTGTAATCACTACGTGCTGTGTACTTTAGAAAAGTTTTATAATTACTTGCTGTTCCGGCTGCTGAGCAGTTCTAAATGTTGGATATTAAGGAACTGCTGTTTCAGTCAGTGAACAAGCTCTGAACATTAAATGTGCTTCACGAGAAGTTCTTTTCTCAGCCATTACACATCTCCGAAGGCATATTTTTTTTCGAGTGGATGCTTTCCCAGCTGTTGATCATCTCTCTGTTTCTTCTGTGTGAAGAGAGAAGGAGGAAACTGGTGAGAGTGTGACATTGTAGAAAGGCTGTATCGCTGTGGAGGGAGGTGGGTGCATCACTCAGAGGTGGAGGTGTTGAAATAATTACTCAGGTCATCCTGGAAAAGTGCCAAGGAACCTTTCTCTTCTACCGTGTGTATTTTTTTTTTTAATATTTTATATTGTGTGTTTTACAGAAGAAATGTTTTAGCAGTTTTACAGAATTCTGTACATGAATTTTTGGTGACATTTTTTATCTCTCTCCATCACTTCATACTTTGGGGAGAGGCAGCCTGTCTTTGTCAGGGTCAAGGAGATACTTGGCCAGAGCACCTCGATGAGTGATACCAAGTGCTGGGTGAGAACTGGAGATCCAAAGTCAGCAGGTGTTTTGAGGCTGTGTTGTCAAAGGTGATAACAGTGATTTCTTTCACAGAATGGCTCTTCAGTTATCCAAAATATACCTCATGTACAGAATGATGTAAAGGTCCTGAAGACCTTGTAAGATTAGAATAATAGAATCATCTGGGTTGGAAGTGACCTCCGAGGTCATCAAGTCCAACCCTTGATCCAACACTGCTGTGGTTCCCAGACCATGGCACTGATGCCACATCCAGTCTTATCTTAAAAACCTCCAGGGATGGAGAATCCACTGCTTCCCTGGGCAGCCCATTCCAATGGCTGAGCACCCTCTCTGTAAAGAAATTCTTTCTAATGTCTAACCTAAACCTCCCCTGGCAGAGCTTAAGACCCTGAGCCCTCTTGTCTTGCTGAGAGTTGCTTGGGAGAAGAGACCAACCCCCACCTGGCTCCCCCCTCCTGTCAGGGAGTTGTAGAGAGTGATGAGGTCTCCCCTGAGCCTCCTCTTCTCCAGGCTGAACAGCCCCAGCTCCCTCAATCTCTCCTCATAGGACTTGTGCTCGAATCAATCAAGTGCTGTGTTTCCCAGTGAAACCAGAATGATGGTGCAATGGTTAACAAGAGAGTTGGAAAAACATGGATCAGTTCCTCACCCTGTCCCAGTGTCCCATATGACCTTGTGTGTGTCACACAGCCTCTCCTTCAATCCCAGGAGCAAAATGCAGGCAGCTGTGTCTGTAGTGAGAGGTTTAGGAGTCAGGCTGGAAATGAGCCCTTTCCCACCTGGAGCTCTCTGACCCTGCTGGCAGAGTCGGGAGGCTTTGGCTGTAAAGCTGCACATTTCACATCTGCTCAGAGGCTGTTTGGAGAAATGCATGCAAACTTCTGGATCTGGAAAACTTTCCTGACGTACATTAGCTCTTAGAGCAGCTTTGGTGTGTGCAAGAGTTCATTCTCTGTTTAGTTCAAGTACTGAGATAGTCAATCACGTAGGACAACTTCTGCTCTGTCACTTACTGAGCATCAGAACTAGAAATGCTGAAAATTATATCATTTCAGGTGTCATTAATCTAAGGCATAATGGTGCCTTTAACAGCTAAATGAACACTGTAGTTCAGGTGATTCAGGTATTTTTGCATATAATCATGTTTTCAAATAAATTACAAAGTTCAATCCAGTATATATTCATTTTGAGGCGTCCCAGAAGTGTGTAAACTACAGTTATTGCGGTTGCCTTGTATTTACAAGCTGTAAGATTTATTTAGTAGGAACTCTTCAAATGGCAATAGGCTGGTCTTGAGTTATGAATTGCTAAACCCATCCATCTATCACATTTCTACCCAAAATCACTCTTTAAATGCATGGAGGAAGTGTGCCCCTATTGCAAAAGTGGTACAATGTGTCTCTCTTGACACAGCAAGAAAACAGCAAGGAAATAAATTTAAAGCATTAGGCAGTATTAAGACTTTTCAGAGTAAGCCATCCAAATGAAAACCCATAATCAAAATAATAATTATCAGGGGAGCACATTTTGCTTTCAAAGTAATCATGCGAAGTAAAGCAGAGAATATGTCTTAAGTAGCAAAAAATGGTGATTTCTGTTCAGAGGTAAAAAGAAAGCCTAGCACTTGAGAATATAAGTGCTTTGTACATGATCAGTTCTTGATGGATTTTCTCAGAAATGGGCCTTCATGTATTGTACATAAAGAGGAGAGGGAAAATTGAAGCCGTTATGTGATGAATGCAGCCGAAGGTGTGATGGAGCTGGGATTGGGTTACTGAAGCCAGGAAGATGCCTGTCATTCTCCTCATTTTAAAATTATTACAGCGTAGGGTTAGATTGAAGTAATATTCTGTGAAATATTAAGACATTCTGCACTGTGGGAAGACATTTGGAAAGTTCCAGAAAAGTTAATGTATAATTTCTGATGAAAGTAATTTGTACTTTTTTTTTTAATTAAAGCAGCAGATAGTCCAGCAAATTTCTTTCATATATTCTTATTATTTCTGGTGTAGTTAAAGAAATTTAATGTGAGGGAAACATTTTCAGCTTATCTTTTCATATTTGTTATTCAAATAATCTTATACCTTCTGAGTTCATGGTATATTTTGTCTATAGCTTTGTTCTTTCTGTTTGGTGTCAGCTGCCTGAGATTTTCATTTCCAGAGTTCACCTCTAAGATTAGACTAATCTTGTCATTTTACCATTTAATCTTGTTAATTTTTTTAATGGCTTCCATCAGCACGTGTGAAGTTCAGTTACACTGAGCTTCATTGCTGAGGATTTATATGATTTTGGTGGTGGACATATAAAACAAACCTTGGTTTTCTTTTTGACAGCACTAATTCTGGGCTCTTCAGTCTTCATGAGCTGCACTGGACTTAACTTTGGTCGATCGGGATCAAATCCATCTTGTAGTAGGGTTGAATCATAAAATCATATAAAAATTGTAATGGAATAAGTATCTTTTACTTTCATCAGGTGCAATAACCTGGATTTTATGTCTCCATAGTGCTCATTGTAAGAGCAGCTGACCCTTTTAGCAGAATTCCAGCTTGCCTGCTCTGAAGTGGTCGCAGATTGAAAAAGGCTTTGTGTTATGTCTGAACATAAACAGCTGCATTTTCCAGGAACTAACACGATTCACTTCATTTGCCTTCTCCAGCAAAAGTAATAGCTCTTCCCTTTCCCCGTTTTCTTCTTTTCAGGAGCAACAGTTTGTTCCACGAGGTCGTGCAGCTGAACTTTGAGATCACCAGCTTCAGCAGCCTGTCGGGAACACAGCCCATCACCTGGCAGGTGGAATACCCCCGGAAGGGGACCACGGACATCACCCTGTCTGAAATCTTCATCTGCCAGAAGGACCTCGTTGGGATTGTTCCACTGGCAATGGTAAGAACCCGTTTCAGCTGTTGCTCTGTCCAGCCTGTGTGTGTGCTCTCAGACAGACTCACCCAGGAGTGCTGCTCTCTGTCCTGCCTCCCCATTTATAGCTGGAGGGGACTGCCTGCTAAAATCATCCCCTCCTTCAGTGGTCTGTGCATATCACACAATTATAAACTTCACAGGGAGGGGAGGGATGCTGCCACTTTAAACATCTCCCTCAGATTTAAACCGTGAGTTTCTGGCATGGTTTCCTCCAGGCTACCAGCTGGTAACACAAAGCCAAGTAGATTTTTCTTCCCATTTCTTATTTCCATTGCATGGCTCAAACTTGGAAGCTGTAGAGCAACTTCAGAGGGCCTCAAGGACCTTCTGCTAAAGCCCCAAGTTTCTTGGTCCTTAGTAGAATGAGTCTGATACTAATTCTGCTGCCTGATTCCCTGATAGTGTAAGAACTTCTGGTTTCAAGGGAGAAACAGAAAATAATAAGAGCCTCAATAATACATTTAAGAAGGATGAAGTTCAGACTTTCATGCCTTGGGTTAAAATCTACTTTCTCTGCTCAGTGTTTTAGCAAAACAAGACATTTCACAGGACTCTCCACCATCTCAGGTGTGCTGTTACTAGGCAGGCATTTTATTTTCTGTTGGATTCAGGTAGATGCTGAGAACTTATTCCATGCTCACAGGTGAAGTAGGCATTGAGAATTTATTTTGGAAGTCCTGCTGAATCTCAGGAAAGGGAGAGAGCTGCCAGGTACCTGGAACAGGACCGAGTGGCAATTAATAGAGGAACTGCATATGCCACCATTAGTCAGTGTTTGAGCTCAGGGTTTGGAAGATGAGTTGGACATATCTATCCTTCTTGTGAATTTAGGCTCTCCTGTGCATAATCTTGGTGGCATAATTCTGGCAATCTTTTCTTTGAACAGTGTTCAGCAGATAATTAGATGAGTATTATTTCCTGGAAGTCCTAGTCCTCAATATATTCTTCCACTTTGAAGAGTAAAACTGCTGCTCATATCAAATGAGGTCATGCCCAGCAATTTCCTGATCCACAGTCTGTTAAGTCAGCAGAAAGCCTGGACTGCATTTCAGATCTGAGAGGGAAATAATTGTCCTCATTACCTGTCAGGTTGAACAGGGAATACCTGTTTGAGCATCTGCCCTCTAAGGACTTGAGAACATGTGTAAAGAAGAATTTTGTGGTCAGGTTTTATTTTGAGGTGGATGCCTTCCAACATCAAACAATAGACATCACAATAGACTTCACATCTTCCTTTTTTATTTCATGGAAGAATTCATCAGCTTCTTCTCTGCATTCCATATCTTAGGGAATCAAGATTTTAATATCCCTGTCAGGGTGCAATGCCTTTGCACTTGCATACAGGGTTCTTGTAGACTTGTGTCTATTCTACATTAAAATTCATCTGCCTACAAGGGTTCCTTTAAGAACTGGAGGTCTGAATGAATGAATTTAGCCTTGTATAAATCATGTAAGGCAAGATCCTTTATTCCCAGCAGATTACCAGTAGGCAACCAGGGTTGTGCAAAGGGTTCAAACAATGAAATCATTAAACCTTTCTCTTTGCAAAGCTTTCTTGTGTTTATCTCATTTCTGTACCTTGTGATAACACATGGCTAGAGCCAAAATATACTGTGTTAACAGAATCCAGTTGGATGGGATACCAAAGTAAAATTGGCTTTGCTAGCAGGATATTAGTAGATAAAGGGAATTTTCAGAGTTTTCTGTTAGCTAACACTGCATATCCAGCCAGGGTGCTTTCTTCATTTAGGCATTAATCTCCAGCTGAGCTGATTACCTGGCACTTCTCCTGCTCAGAAACAAGAGTCACACCGAAAAGAGAGAGGGTGATACTGTACATGCTGAGAAGTCAGACCAGAGCCTTTATCTTCACTACACACTGTAAAGCAACAGCCCATTATTGTGTACAGAAATTAGATCTCACTGTTTATCAGCAAGTGGGTTTCGTAATCCTCTGGAGGTGAAGGAGATTTTGCTGATTTAAGCACGGGGTGTTCCTGCAGCAGAACTGCTGAAACATGAAAAGTCAAATCTGCCGTTCCACATTGGTAAAGGTGGCCAGAAAACAAAGAGGTTGTAGAGTGTTGGGATGTAGGATCTGATTGAGTCTCTGCCATTGGGCATCCTAGTCAGTGTTTTGGGGATGAAAGCAGCAAACTTTTGCTTGGTTTGACTATAACATAAAGGTTATCTCTGGCTCACGGAGTAAAGCACGTCTCATGTGAGCCATTCCAAACTTATGAAGCAAGGAAGATCATGTCTCTTTTATTGCCCTATGCCTGATTACATTACAAAAAAGTAGTAAGATGAAAACCAAGTGGTCTTCAGAAGATTAGGGCAATTGTTGCCGTGGTATTTTGGAGGAGATTAAAGAATTGACATTGTCAGCAAGAACTGAACCTGAAATTTTAAAAGAGCCTTAGAGGACTTGGATCAGCGGAGCAAGTGGTGGGATAAAGCTGCTGAAAAATCAATGGAAATTCATCATGTAGTCAAAAGAGAGGGTTTTAGTAGAATCCATGTTCCAGGGGCCCAACTACTGCACTAAATATTGTGTACAAGGAAGAAACAGCAACATAGAGATGCTGCTACAATGCACACTACAGTGAAATAATAGGAGCAGGAGATATCAAAACTGCTGGGCTGAAAATAAGTGTAATAACTTTTCCCCAGGAAAAAATGACTTGTAAATTTGAGGGAAGTATATTTTTTTCCCCGAGCTCAGAAGTTAATCAATCTGAGTAATTTTGGAGGACATGTCACCCTTCAAGGTATTTGGAGAGAAAAATGAGACAGAAAAATTAGGAAAATGTAATTCTGACTGGTCTCTTGCTTTCTAGCTCTCACATACCAGAATTTTAGTTAAATACTGTGGGGATTGATGCTTCAAAATACATCCTAGTCAGACATATGTAGTACTCTCACTACCAAACTCCTGAGTGTGGCACTTGGGACAACCATCCTCAGTGTCCTGCAGGCTGCATGAGATTCTGTGTGTCTCACTCAAAGTATGAGACTAAATTTATATGTTACATTTCCATCATTGAATAGCAGTAGTTAACTGAGGCAAGGTTTGTAAAGAGGTAATGTCATTTATTAGACCGTTTGATGCAGATGGAGAAAGGTAGATGCACACAATGCCTCCTTCAGATCTCTGGACTCACTTAAATCACAGCAGCTGTGAGATACCACAGCTACAGAAACTGGGGGGTGTAAAATTCATCAAGTAGGAGACCTAAATAAGAAAATAAAAGAATTTCTTAAGTCAAACCAGAAAATATGTCCCACTGTCTGCTGACAGGAAAAATCTACTGTCTGAGTTGTGCCCCATTCTGGCTTTTTTTTTTATTTCGTCTTGCTTGTTGCAGGATCAATTAGGAAAGTGCTTTCATAGGAGCTTAATTAATTATCTGCTAAGCTGCTTTTGAAAACCTCCTCAATTAATCACAAGTAACCTCAGAACTTGCCAATTAAGGTGTACAGGGTTTTTTACCTTACTTTCTACAAATTTTCCTCAAATTTCTATCCCATCATGAGCAAATGTAGCCAGCTATGTTGATTTTTCCACTTGACTAGATTAAAATACCCCAAATTGGTCACATCTATAGTATGTGAACACACAAAAATTCCAGTGGAGAGATCTCTATGTTTGTGTTCAACATGAGGACACGTTTTGGGAAACTCAGCAAGAGATTTCTTTTCATGCTTTAAATGGATAGTGCATGTCTTTAATACTATTAAATTTTGCTTTGGGATGGAACAAGGTAGAAAACCTGTGTGAAAGTGCATTTTTCCATGCCAGTAAGACACATTAATATTAAAGGAAAACTCCTTCATGGGAGGAAGATGGGGAATCAATGGTTTAATATTTATGCAAGGCCATTTGGGTCCCTGTATATGGAACTGAAGCAGTAGTCCTTCAACAGCAGGATAAACTCTCTCTGAAGTTGATCCCTGTCTGTGACTTGCATAAAATACAGATATTTGAAATGTTGAAGCATAAACTCAATGGCAGGAGTTTACTCTGAGAGTTCTAGTCTAAATTTCAAAACATTTGTCACCATGGGAAGCCATGCAACTTGCTTATCCATGAGTATTTCCTCTTTAAAAAAAAAATAACAGTAATACTGGTTTTCAGTGGGTCTTTCAGGTTTCATTCATCAGATTCTGTAAAGCATTGATAATTCCTTACAAACAAACCAAAGCTGGAACAGCTCTCAGGCATCTCTGAAAGTTTCTTGCTGCTCTTTCATACCTCACGTGCTCAGAAGTTTGTTTCTTCTCCTCAGCTGTACCAGTGGGCCTCATAAAAGATATAACAATCTGCCTTTCTGCTGATGTAAAAGCATCTTTTCCTTGTGAAACAGCATCCTATGAGCTGCTGTTTAATCCAAGTTCCAAGTGTTTGTGCAGAGTAACCTGGCAAACCCAGCATTAATGTGTAGCTGCTCCTCAGGCAGTACAATTCCACACCTGCTTTTTGCTCAGTGGTAGTTGTTCATTAGGAAGTGCTTGGTTTGTGTGTTTCTGAACTCAATGTGTTGACTTTCCTGCTGCAGAAGCAGGAGAATGGACCTGCTGCAGAGCTGTGACTCAGCCAAAACCGCTTTTGACACTTTTATGTGTGTTTGTTAACTTGCTTTCCTTTAAAACAGAGATGATCAAAAACTTAGCTCCCAGAGCAGTGTTGTTTTATGCACACATTTATGTATGCCATTCCCTAAGGTAAAGGGTTTTTTAAGGTATTTCATTGTAATGAAGTCCCTGTAATACCATTTTAAAAATATGGACCTGAATAAATAGAGTTTTCATCCCTGCACAGTCTGTGAGTTCACACCATAAAGCTCTGTCTGGTTCAAGGTCACACAAGTGCAGAATCCTCACTCCTGTTCATCTTTCAAGTCTTGAAGGAAGCGGGGGCAACAGGCACTGAGGAGCTTTCCAGAAGATAAAATCCATTTCCT